TCGGCTCATAAATCTAACAAAATATCTTGAATAAAATACGCCTGATATATCCAAAACTAGCGCAGCCATCTACAATAAAACCGCTGAACACATACAGTGTGAAAATAAACCAGGGAGATGAAATCTCCGTCTCGATTTTCGGACCAATCAGAGTCCCCGAAAGACGTGCTCTCGCCCCACGCGGAGGATGGTGTATCAGTGTCGTCGTGACAAGCCTCGTGTTAAGCCGCGGCGTTGAAAGTTCGGGATAATTAATTACATTCGCAAATTGCTTGTCGCCAATAAATTACGTTGTTTATTCAGTGCCATCAATTAGGACTCTACACACTGACCGGTTAATTAAGGTGAGTCAATTTACATACATTATTCATTCGATTTATTGTATTTTTATTGGTATACTTTGTAATTTTAATACGATAATTTTACATTTATAGTAATGCATGTCCTTTTTTATCACTGTTCATATTTTTATTTCAGGATTAAATTCAACGTTTTTATAACAAAATGTGATATACAATTAAATCTGGATTAATACATTTTTTTATCGATATGTAGAGCTTTACATTGATTATATTTATAAATATAATCATTAATTATATTTATAAATATAATCAATGTAATCAGTTTTTATATAAATAAATATAATTAATCTAGAGAACTAAAATATTAACAAAGACAAAACTCCTATAAATATCGCATAAAGTTGGATATTTAATCATCACAATCAACAAAAAATTATAGAAATATATGATTGCATATTACATTTTGAATATAGATATATTTGAAATGTACTTTAATTCTACAAATATGAAAACCATGAAATTCATTATCATAGGCTAAACAATTAAGTTCCCGTAGGGTAAGTTATAGCAATCGCAAAAAAATCGAAAATGAAAATGTTAATAATATTTTGAAAGGTTTCTGAATATTTTCGCTCACCTTATTATCAGAAAAAAATGAATGTATGTGTGTGTATGTATGTATGAATGTATGTATGTATACATGTATGCATGCATGTGTATGTGTGTATGTATGTGTGTGTATGCATGTGCGGATACTAATTTTCATCGATGATTTCGAGAATACGGACCAACCGAGTTGAATGATTTAATAATCATTTTACTTGTATTGACGAAATTAAGAACTGATGAAATTCTTAGGAAGGCAGATCGAGAGGTTTCGGAGATCCGATAAAAAAAGTAAAGAAAAAACGACATTTTACGGTACACAAATGTTTATTAAACACATCAATTATCAGATATTTTATAGTGATTTTAATAATACGTACAAATTTTGTTTACATTTTTAATGTTCATTCCTCAGATTGCTTTGAAAGAAAGTTCAAAATTTTCAAAAAAAAATCTTTTTTTTTTAAGTAGAATTTTTCAAAAAAGTTTTTTTTCAAAGCATTCAAAATGCCCAAAAATCAATTTTTTCAAAGTTTAAAAAAAAAATTGAAAACTTTTTTAACAAATTTAATTTTCGGTATGGGAAATTTCAGAATTTGCCTCAAGGCACGATGCAATGCACCACTAGTTTATGATAGAGATTTAAACGTAAGTTTCAATTTCTCTATCACTTGAACTACTCAATATTCGAAATTACTTGTACAATAATATTAACGATACAAATTTTTTTGCGACAATGGAAATAACAAATATATTAGTTTTACAAAATGTAATTTAGTAAAGAATTTCAAATACTTATTCAGATTAATATATGTTTACAAAATAATTTCAAGATTATACGTAAGATAACAATTTAAAACTGACTCAAATACTATCAAGAAAAAAATTTATTGAAAAAACTTATTCTCTGGTCGAATAGAAGCTAAACCATTGTCAAATCAATATAATCCCACACTCACCAAATATCATAAAAATCGGTCTAGGAATTTGTCAAGAGTTCAACGTCTAACGGATACTCAATATATAATCAATAGATTCTATGTAGTTAATTACTATAAAGACGGAAATTAGCATGAGAAAATTTTTGATTGAACAAGACTGCGAACAGACAAAAAGGATGTGAACAATTCGATATTTTCCAAATATGTTTGTTTTGTACACACATAGAGTAATGCATTTCAACGGAAATAAAACTGAAGAAGTCACACGTGATAAATGTAGTTATTTTTTTAAGTTGTATCAAAACTTTTATAATAATTATTTTCTACGCATATTGACTACATAATCTAGTAATTGCCGCAAGCGTTATTTTTCTAAACATTATACAAAAGCTCATTCCATTGCAGTTGATTAATTGTGTTGTTTACGATTGGTCATAGCGAACTATTTGCTATTTGCAAATTCGTTTATTGTTCAATTACATTTCAAAATTATTACTAATGTTTTACAAATTAAGTTGTATCGATGACGTTATTTATGTAAATAATTTTGGTGCGAATGTTTGTTATGTTCGGATTTCAAGACGGAAAATATTTTGAGGAATTATAGTAGACATAGATGCATCGTGAGAAAATGAATGTATCGAGCACTTGCTTATATAATATATTGTGCAGCTTTAAACTCACTATATCTTACATTAGAAAATCTTGAGTTAAACTTTTTGGTATAGGGGCGACTTTTTCAAGTGTTTTACTCCACGTCATTTCGAACTACTCCGCACAAACATTTCTCATTTCTTAGTTTCCAATGAAAGTATATTACAATTTAAAACTAGTGGTGCATGCCATCGGGCCTCAATTGCTGGAACTTCCTGTACCGTAATTTATTATTTTTGAAGCTTCAGATTCTTTTGAAAACGCGTTGCAGTCTAATGGTTAAACATTATAAATCTTGGTACGAAACCCATACAATTTGTACTTATTAAAATCTCTATAAAATATCTGATAATTTGATGTATATAAATATAATCATTTTTGACCGCCAAATGGTTTATTTTTTTACTTTTTTCTTTGACGTTCCGAAACCGCTAGACCTGCCTTTCCAAAAATTTAACCAGTTCTTCATATTTTGTCCATATAAGTAAAATGTTGAACGATTAAAATCGGACGCTCCGTTATCTCTAAAAGTAAATTACCATTTTTTGCACTTTTTGCTCCATATTTTTGAAACGGCTGCAGCTGCCTTGGTCAAAAACTAATGAGCATGTCTCCTTATTAATAGGAATCGAATGTTTTTTAAATCATTGTTTGCAAAGGCGGATCCAGCGGTTTCGGAGAAGAAAAAAAGTTAAAAAAAATACCATTTGGCGGTCGAAAATCCGATTGTTATATCTGCATAGACCGAAATGAATCGGTACCAAAAACTTTCAAAAAAAAAATTTTAAAAATTCCAAATAGTTTCCAAAATATTTCTAAGCAAAAAATTTCATTATTTTCAAAAAAAAGTTAAAAAATATTCAAGTTTCCAAAATATTTCTAAGCAAAAAATTACATTATATTCAAAAAAAATTGAATTCAATATTCAAATTTTTTAAATGTTTTCAAGATTTTCAAATAAATTCAGAATTTCCAAGAAAAATCTAATATTTTTTTTTTGAAATCTTAAAAATTTTGAATTACAGTACGGGACGTTATTTTTTGAAATTATTTAAAAATTTTGAATTACAGTACGGCAAATTATTTTGTTTTAAACATGTTTTTTATTAAGCTTTTTGAATATTTGAAGCCTTTAAATTGTTGTTGTTTCATAGAATATAAAAAATGTACTACGTACTTAAGCAGCAAGGGTTTTATATAAATATTTATTAATGACACAGCGTATTTGTATGTATTTTCTAATATAAATTTTTAATACATTATGTTAATTTAATTTTCTAGTATAACATATTTATTCACTTCAGTTTTTAAATATAATATTTCTTGAAAAGTCTAGTCGTAGAAGGGGGGCAAATCATAATTTCGTTTAAGACTTGAACTTTAGGTCAAACTTTGAAATCAGCATACAATAAAAGTGAGAGCTCGAAAAACATTTATCAACCATAGTTAAAAAACGCTAATGCTAATTTTTTCTGATGCGTTAGAGTAAAAGTTAGAATAGAAAAATAGTTAAGTATAGAATATTTAATTACGATATTTCAAAATGGAATAAAATGGAATAAAATAACGAATGTTATAAGGAATTCGTGTAATTTCCAAGTCAAAACATTCAATTTTTTTGCTAATAAAATATAATAATAATTCATTTTTATGCATGAAACATGATTTTCATAAGAAAATAGATCCATAAGCGAGGTTTTAATTTCTGTAACTCGTTTATAAAACGAAAGAAATATTTGAGAGAATTAAAATTATCATCGAATTATAAAGAAATATATTTTAAATATTTACGATTTAAATTTGTTTTCAATAGTTAATTAGATTTTCAATATTTAAATTTCAATAATAAAACCATTTCTGATTATCGAGTTTAATAAACATTTAATTATCATAAATTAAATTATGAATATCCATACATTCGATCAGTAACCAAAAGTCACACGGAAGTGTTAACTATAACATAGCTGAATTTTTAAATTTGTTTTGATAATAGGTAATAACGTTAATATAATTTCACCCACGTTAAATTATGCAATGGCATTTGTTTCATAAACTCTTTAGTTCGTCTTATCAAATGTTATCAAAATCGACTCTAGTATTGCTTTAATTATTTTTCATTTACATTTCAACTTGCACCAAACGAATGCAAACATATAGCACGGACGATATTGTTTTACTGCGATAAAATATTTGGAAATTATAATTACGATATAACAAATAATCGATGTAAGAACTTTTGTTTATAGAATATAAAGCTATGCAAAATGTTGAATATTTATACTTTGTAGCTAATAATCTTTTAATGTTATATTATAAACAAGAAAAGGTTGCATTAGTCAAACAAATGATGTAATTTCGTGATTGATCGTGAATTATAATGAGTCAGATTAATTTTAATACCAAATATTTTTATTTTTTAAACTTGCGCTAATGAGTTTTTATTTCCATTGTAGAGTATGAGTCATTTATAAAAATATTAATAATTACAGAACTTGTTATGGATCCTGGAAATGATTCTAGAACATACACGTACAGAAAAGTGATGAAGCCGATGCTCGAACGAAAACGTCGTGCACGTATTAACAGATGTCTTGAGGAATTGAAGGAACTTATGGTATGACAATTTTATTTTCATTCTTGAAGCATTATTAAATGGCTTTTTAAAATTTATTTATAACCCAATACAAATCAACAATTGGTTTAAAATATGCACACTCGAGATTGAGAAAATTGAACAAGATTAGATTTTAACCAGGAAATTATCCTTGCAAAATAATTGAAACAATGCGTTTCCTAAATATTTTTTCATTTGAATATAATCTGCTAATAAATGTAAATCTATTAATAAATGTAAATCTATTAATAAATTTTCAGGAAATTATGATGCATTAAAAAGTTTAATGAAGGTATGTTTTGCAAGGATATGTTATCAAAAAGTACTAAAGTTATAACAGTAATTATTTAGGCATATAATTATAATAACTTGGTACCAATTACTTTCTACGTTTTATTTTGGTTTGAATAAGTAAGAACAAACTTTGTTAAAACTTGGTATATATTAAACAAAATTTCTGCCTTTCTAATAACAACTCCTACAACTTTGCTCATTACTAAATTCATATAATTCCTCGACGTTTTAAGCCATTCTGAATTGAATAATACCAAAAGAAAATGTATGAGTGTGTAATTTTCTGGTCCACGTTTTAGCTCACAATTCTACATAGATTATAAAAATTTAAAAACATTGGTTGAGAATCGTGCTCATTAGGTTTTGGTGAAGATCGGCGGATCTGTGTTCTTGTAAATGACTGTTAAAAAAAAATCCACGATTTTTATGATTTTTTTGGACTATAGATCATACTAAAATACCACAACTCCACGACAAGTGTAATTTTAAAAATTTGTCAAAGTTTGAAAAAAATTAGTAGCTTTTTGGCGTTTGCCAAAATTAGACCTTTGATGTATCTCGATGAGGATTTGCGGTTATATATTTGCGCGACGATATCGGTCGAGTCGTTTCTATGTAATTAGCAAAAAAAGTGTAAAATATTTCGTCCACGCTTTAGCAATCCATACTGAGTCGATTTTAAAAATTCAAAAACCGTTCGAAAGATATTGGTTGGGTATCGTGCTTATTAGTTTTTGGAAAAGATCGGCCGGGTCGTTTCTTTGTAATTAACGGCAGAATAAATGTTTTTTGCCGATTTTTTTTTGACGGTAGATATTGTGGTGTTAGAGACCACAATAAAATATTACGGCCCTACGACAAGTCATTCAATTTAAAAAAAAAATCAAAATTTGAAAAAATTGGCAGCCTTTTTTGAGGTTTGTTAAAATTAGACATTATACTTGGTACGGCGATGTAGTACTTGGTCTTAATAAACTTACTAAACCATTATAATCATACGGAAACTAGTCTGATTATAAAAATTTATTCAATTTTGAATATTTGCTTTTAGAAAATACTCCGGGTTGTATTAGATACGCGCTCCATTTTCAATAATGTGTAATAAATCACTCGTAAATTAATTATTTTATTATTGATTAAGTTGATTATTTACTACACATATCAGGAAGTTCATGTCACTTACCTTAAGGCAAAATACCACTTACAACTAGTTTTATTCTTATACTTACAAGTGTCAGATTTATCAAAATGAGGTCTAAAATTATTATCCTTTAAGCAAATAAATATAGCATGTTTTATTAATTCGGACAAAGCACGCAGTCAAAACATTTATACCAGTTAAAATATTAATCGTCTAAAATAGACCGTAACATAGCGTTGTTCTGGCAAGGCTATGTTACGCTTCTTGGTACTTAGCAAAAAAATAGTATTTTGACGGTTCTTAGTACCATTTTATATGAAAAACTTAGCGTGACATAGCCATAGCATTGTTCTATTTTATGGCTGAATTTGCCGGTGAACTATTGTCTGTTTCATTTAATCAAAAATGTGAATTTACTAAATAAAATATGTATACATATACATATGCATACATACGAATCGCAACCATATTTACCTCCATAAGCTTTTCAGAACTTAGATATTTTTAAAATAACTAGTGGTGTATGCCATCGTGTCTTAAGGTAAATTGCTGGAACTTCCCGCACCTTAATGAAATATTAAAGGAATATGAAATGTTTTCAAATAGATTATTATAATAACTTTAAGCTACAATTAGAATTAAAATACGAATTATTTTTCGATATTAAAAAAAAAATAAAATAAAAAATTCTTTCCCCAAAAGTAATCGTTTTGTCAACACAAGCAGAAAGTTTTTTCAATCATTCAAATCGAATGCTTAGTTCTCTCAAAAACTGCTATTCTCTGCACATTTAGCAATGTATCTCTGAAAAGGCTGGACCTGCCTTTGCCAAAATCTAATTACCACTTCTCCCCATCATTACAAATCGAACCTGTTGATCCGTTCTCTTAAAAACTGACATTTTAGCACTTTTTGCTCCATATCTCCGAAGTCGCTGACCAAAAACTAATCAGCACATCTCCCTATCAATAGGAATCGATTGCTTTTTGAATTTTTCGAATCGGTTCATTCATACGACCGAAATCGTCGACGAAAAATTGTCTCCACACATACACATACACACAAAAACATTAATTTTTTCTCAAAAAAGAAAAATGTTCAGGAATCTTTGAAACGTGAAGATATGCAACATTTTCAATTTCGATTTTCGGCCCATTACTATAACTCACCCTACGGGAAGTTAAAATTTGTATTAACTCTAGTATGAGAGTAATTATTAATATTTGTAGAATAAATATTTTAATGTTTAGATAAAACCTTTATATACGTGTGTATTAAAAAATGTGCTTTTCCTTAGAGTGAAGAAGGCGATGTGAGCAAGCTCGAAAAGGCCGACGTCCTGGAAATGACGGTACGCCATTTACACACATTACAGCAGCGCGGTGAAATTGCGCTCCCTCCAGGTGCATTGTCTGCCGTGTCCGAGCACGAGCGACGCTCCTGGCGTACATACTTGGACGGCTACGGCACCTGTGCGGCAGCAGCTTGCTGCTACTTGCGCGGAGTAGATGAAGGTGCCACTCGCAATTTACATGATCATCTACAAGTCGCTGCTCAAAGACGCAGTATGCAAGTTGCTCCTTATGCTCAAGGTATGTTTTATCATAAAATATAGAAAAAGAAATAGTGATACATGGAACTTTGCGTACCGGAATTAAAATTTTAAAGTGATTTAGATTGTTTTCAAAGCAATCGCGCTGCGTAGCTAATTTAGAAACAAAATATCACAGCGCGTAACGCCGCTTCGCAATCTAACTGTTAAGCATTGCAAATTTTTGTACGGAACCCATAGAAATGTGAACAAAATTTGTAATTACTATCAAAAGCTCTATAAAAAGTCTGATAATTTGATATGCGTACGTCTAATTATCTATTTTGGTCGTCAAACGTCATTTTTTTACTTTCTTTTTAATGGATCTCCAAAACCGCTAAACCTGCCTTCCCAAAAATCAATCAACATATTCTTCATTATATCAATACAAGTCATATGTGTTTTGAATCATTCAAATCGGATGCTCCATTCTCACAAAATTGCCATCTTTGTTAATTTTTGCCCCGTATCTCCGAAAATACTGGACCTGCCATGGCCAAAAACTAATCAGCACGTCTCCCTATCAATACTAATTGAATGTTTTCTAATCATTCAAATCAGATGCTCTGTTCTCTCAAAATTGCCATTTTTGTTACTTTTTGTTCAGTAACTCCGAAACGACAGGACCTGCCGTCGTCAAAAACTAATCAGCACGCCTCCCTGCCAACACAAATTGAATGGTTTTTGAATCATTCAAATCGAATGATCCGTGCTCTCGAAATCCTGAACGAAATTTGTAACCAAACATACATACATACATACTACATAAACACACACATACATAATTTTTTTCTAAGGTATGCTAAAATGTTCAGAAGGCCATGAAACGCAAAAATATGCAAAAAAAAATTATTTTGAAATTTGTTACAAAGAAGTTTGTGTCCTCATTTGAAAATCTAATTTGCGAACTTTATGTTTTATTAACGTTTTAAGTCATTTAGGTCAAATGATTAAACATACGAAAACTATGTTTGAACGAAATACGAGAAACTATGTTTGTGCACGCGTGCCAAAGTTGAACTTTTCATCAACGTTTTCTCCAAAACGGTCTCACAAATCTAAAAATATTAATAAAAAGCCATTTAATGAAACTCGATAAAATTTCGTGTTGATTATATTTGCACGACGATCGGTCTAGCCGTTTCTTTATTATTAGGAGATAAGTGAAAAACATTTTTATCAATTCCCAAAATATCAGCTGGAAGTCGTGCTGATTAGATTTTGGTCAAGATCGGCCAAGCCATTTCTTCGTGAATATTGTTTGAATTCAATTACGATTTGATAAAAGTTTTCATTGTGATAGGGTAACTCTATTAAAGTTTATTGTCTACTCTAAAGTGTAGATAAGAAAAAAAATAGTAGGTCTTCGTCGAATTGAAGTACCGTTTAAGATCTAGGTGAAAATTCTTTGAAGTTTGAAATAATAAATTTCCTTTTTGATATAAACAGTTTGGAATTAATGTTGTCGTCACCGTCACATATTCGAAAGTTCATGCAACTTGTCTAAGGACTAAATACTACTTACGTCTAGTACTTTTTTTACATTTTAGTATAACATTTTATCTATTAACGAATTTATTCGAGATTTTGATACCACTGTTATATTACATATAACGTACTCATTATATGTAATCCAGAAAAATATATCAATTACTTAGCAAATATTTAATTGTCTGCAAAGACCTCGTCTATTTTTTATACATTCTTATATATTTTTATTTTATTTATTAGATCGCAATATGGCATATCCACATTCGCCGCCTACACCGGTAGAGCAATATCCTGCTCCGACATCACCAATGTCCGCAATGGAAATTGCTTACGCGCAATATGTCGCACAATCGCAACAACAAGGCGCTAATTTGGCACCGCAAGTTGATCGCAGGCAAACCATGGAGCGTCTTCGCAACAGAATTCTGCAGAGAAGGAAGGGTCGCAATGGATCCGATAATCCGACTAAATCTATGTGGAGACCATGGTGAAGAAGAAGACATTTGAGGTTGATAATTCTGGTATGCCATATTAAAGCTTGAGGGGCTAATTTTCCGATAAAACAGAAATGTTACGGAGATGCTATGTTACTATGTTCATATATTGGTAGTAAAAACTGTCACATAAGAAAGATGCAGTTATAACATAGTTTTTATTTGACATGTGTTTTTTAGGTTAGGTTTTATGTAAAACGCCTAACTGCATAGCAAATACATAGTATTTTGACAGTTTTTACCGCCATTCTATAGAAGATTGGACCGTAACATAGCGCTACCACAACAACGCCGTTATATTAAGAATTGGAGAATTGGCCCCTGAATTTTGAAGTAATGTTCCATAAACGCTTTATGAAGTAAAAGAAAGAAAGGTTTGGTTGATTTCAAAATATTTTGATATCTTTAGCTTAAGATATTTTGCTCTCTCGGTTTGATATCAGTTATTGGCAAGACATTTTATATAAAATACCTTTTAGAGCTTACTCATTGATAAATTTAATAAGTTTGGTTTCAACGATTCTCGATAGAATCTTAATAGGTATTAAAATGTTTTTTTGACTCGATTTGACCTATGAACCGAGCCGCATTATTTACCCATTTGGTTGTTCATGTTCCCTTGAACGAAGCAGCCTGCGGAAATGCCTTTAATTTTTGCCCCGTTATTAAAAATTTTGGTTTGGTTTGCTATTATCGACTAATTTCAAATTACGTTATTTTCATTCAAATCTATCACTTCTGATAATCTGTAACAGTTTTTTATTAACTTTTAATGCAAAGCTATGTTATGCTTCTTTCTTGGTACTAAAAATTGTTAAAAATGCTCTGTGGTTGCTGTGCACTTAGGCGTTTTAAATTTCAAACTGAACCTAGATAACGCACAAACGTCAAAAAAAAATGTTATCGTAACTGCATCTTTGTGATGTGCATTTATAACACACGGTTTTATAAGTAAAAAGCCTGATTGCACAGCAAATTCTTAGCACTCTCACAGTTTTTAGTACCAAGAAAGGAGCATTGTTATGGTCTATTTTACCGTAGAATTGGTCTCTCTATTAGCAACAAGTTTGATAGTTTTATTAAATCATTGTGATTTACATATTATAAAGCAAACCATAACAAGTTTAATAGCAATTTCCCAAAATGTATCATAAGATTTTTGTTGTATAGAATAACAGACTTTCAAATTGAATTAAAGATATTGTATGAATTTTTATGTGATAAGCGACTTATGAAAATAAATTTTCATATAATATCAAACATATTAAATGTTATATATTTCATAACTATGTCTTCCTACTGCAAAATTGATATAATAATTTTGCAAATCTGCAAGAATTATTTTAATTGATTGTTTGTAATTCAAATTTTATATAATATTTTAAAATAAGTTAAGAAATAATTATATTGTTAATAAAAAGTATTATATTGTGTTATTTAGTAATAAAAATTTAAAATTGCCTTTTATATAATTGAGGTCGCAAGATGAATATGTTATTTTGCCATATAGCGTATAGTAGTTTTAAAAAATCTTAATATAATGTTTGTATCTCTTGTTTCATCGATATTCTATAATTCCATCTCTTTGTATCTCTTGTTCCATCCAAATTCTATATTCGTTAGTTGGGATTAGATTAGATAAATTCATCATGTTCATTGATGATAATTAAAAAGAATATTGATATTTAGAGTTACGAGAAATATTAAAATAATATTTAGTGTGCATCCAATGATAAAGGGGACCAAATATTATAAAATTTCTGCTTTTCTCAACTAATTTGACTTTTATTCCTTCAATTATGTTTCATCTGGAAAAAAACCTCTAAAGATATATTTCATGCAATACCTTTAGTTCTTTTTGTGATTATTTAATTATGTTGCTAAATTTTGTATTATAAATCCATCTTGGCATAGTATTAATAAAGTATTTTCAGCTCATACGAAATATATTGTCAAAGCGAAATGGTGATACAAATAGGTGTAAGACATTCTAATATTAGTTATAAATGCTAAGTGATATCAATGATTATAATTATATCATATGAATTAGCCATAGACTTGATTATTTTTCGACATTTATAAATATGTATTTACATCCAAATATATATATTATATATACTAACACTATGAGCAGGATTGACGAAATAATGTGCGACTTAATAATCAATTAAGTATTATAACACATTATACGTAGTGTATTATGTTTTAGTCGTAAACAAGACAAAGATTTTTGTTATTCCATATTTTATACTTAAAGAACTGTTTTTAGATGTAAATGTTTATAAATATAATACCTATTGTTAGTTATCAAGTTATTATATGCACAAAAAATAAATGAAATAATGTATATGAAATGTCTTCCAATTTATAAGAATTGTAAAATTCTAATGAATAAAAATATATTAAAAATAGAGAAAGTTTTTTAACTCTGCATATTTGTGTTTATTTAATAAATAATGATTTGAAGTCGTGTGTTGAACGTAAAAATATAAGTTAAAATCCAGAAAGATAAGTAACGTGACTTGTGTTGTAAAAATTACAATAAATTTACTTCTGTAAAATATATGTAGACGGTAAAAATTACAGTAATTTTATTATTTTCAACTTATTGAAAAAAGGTTGGTTTTTACCATAAAGTCCAATAGCTAATTTTATGTTTTCTTTACGTTTCAAATCATTCTGAATCGTCTGATCGTGTAGTAGGAGAAGCACGGACAAAATGAAATAGTGTTTAATGATATGTTTTTATTTATTCTAAAAATTCAAATACTGTTCGTAAGACATCAGTTGAGAATCAGGCTGATTAGGTCTAAAATATCGGTCAAGCCGCTTCTAAACATTGTTGAATTTTTTTTTTACAAATTTTACAAACTTTTTATGATGATAAAGTTTTATGGCTAATTGTTTATCATTATTATTTGAACTCCAAAGTCGGAAGTATATTAGCGAAGTTTGATGCTTTAAAGCTTTAAGTTGTTTTCCCAAGCTCTTATAATTTTAAAAGTTTTTTCTTTATTTATCATTTTATCTATACTGGGTTTATTGCCCAGCCATAGATAAACAAGTATGTTAATTTGTATAAAAATGAAAAAAATGCTCGAAAATAATGTAAAATTTGCAAGTTGATTGTAATGTGAAATAATTTTGCAAGCAGCTACAGCAATAACACAAATTAAATTGTATAAATGTAAAAATAGTAATAGTAATGTAATGTATTAAATCAATAAAAATATCATTAAAGTTTGCTGAATCAGCACGGTCAAATTTAATACTTAAAGTCACAGCTATCCGAATTTCTTTACTCATTTTTATTAAAACTATACATTATTAGAACTATTTTTGTTGATTTCTTGAAACAAAAATAAACAATTATTTAGGTTGTATTTATGTTACGTAGTTATAAAATTTATTAAAACTCTCCTTCGATAATTCAGGTTGTTGAGTTATAATTTGTAGCTGTGGACTGTATTAAACACTGACTTGTTTGTATATTACGTATTTGTTGCAGTTCTAATTACAATCACTGATTTGTTACTACGGTATAATGAAAGAAGATATGTTTATTGGTTATTTATTGTACATGTTGTTTCGCGGACTTTACTTTTAGAAGTGAACAACTAGTTAAATTAAAACACTCCGCAACCATTCCGTGTAAAGCGTAATGCCCTGAAGGTTGTCACCTTCATGGCCAATATAATAAAACAAAAATACGTTCGAACAAGGTATTGCGGATTTAAATTATACAATCCGAATTTGTAAAATGGTAAACTTTTACTTTATTTACGATTTCAAAGTTTATGGCAAAAAATGGCGACTGTATGCAGAATATTATTGTGTATTTATTAAAAATAACAAATTCATACATAGATCTCAACGAAAATCGTTTTATTAAGACTATTAAGAAATTAAGTTTATTAAGAAATTAATACTTCCTTATGTATTTACATATATATTTTTTAATTTAATATATATATATTAAACAAAATCCGGATTACCATATTTACTAAAAAAGCATTTTCAATTTGTAAGCCCAATTGTTTTGTTTTTAAATGCTTTGGACACCTAACAGATTTGTTTTTATATAAACCATGTGTGTTTATACGAACAAACTTGATAATTAAAAATAAAATATGCAAGACTAATCAACAAACGAGTATAAGTTTAAGTTGAACGTATTAATATTGAACTCTTGCTAAAACATCGCCTGATTTTCTACAATTACTAAAACATTCAGAGTTAGGAATATCACCCATAGCTCGCATAGTAGAGCACCAAGAGATAGCGTTAAAACAACATTTTGAAATTAATATAATATACTTATAAATATAGGAAAAATAATTTCATTAATTATCTATAGACATTACCGTAAAAATTTTCGCAAATTATGTAAAAATTTTACATTGCAGATGATGTTTAGAGATCGTTTACGAAAATAAAGCAATCAACAGTGGATGAGTTCGGATTAATACCTCAGCGTTTGCTGTTCAAGGGTACTGCGTCAGATAGCGCCTGTAAAATAATTTTTAACGCTAAAAGGGGGATTTAGTGTTGTATGGTATTGTGATAGTTGCTGGAACTTTCCGTACCGAAAATTAAAATTTTTAAAAAAACTTTAAAATTTCACGAAAGCTTTGAAAAACGTAGATTTTTGAGAGCTTTGAAATTTTTGAAGAAAAATTACTTTTTTGAAAATCTTCAAATTTTATTCATATTATTAATATTTTTGAAAATTTTGAACTCTTTAAAAGCAATGACGCTGCGTAGCTGTTTTAAAGACAAATTATAGAAGCGCGTTAGCGTCGCGTCGGAGTCTAACGGAAAATTATTGGTACAGAACACGGATAATTGTTGGTTTTGGTCATTTTTGATATCTTTGCGATTACTATAACTTACCATACGTTTCAAAGTATAAAAAATAAATTTCAGATATTTTTAAATAGTCAAATCTTCAAAAATTTCAAAATTCTCTATAATCTATTTCTTTCAGTTTTCAAAAA